AACCTCCGAGTGTATTTCTGCCATGAAAAAAAGCTTCTCATAAAAATTCAATCGCCGTTCGGAGTCGCGCACACCACAGATTGGAGGAGAAGCTCGGCCAAGTTAGGTGATTTAGGTAAATAAAAAATGGAAAGGTTAGAAATTTTTATATATCTTTTGCTTGAATTTAAAAATTGGAACATTTGGGAGATTCACAACGGCGTCGTAAGTATTGTATTGTTGTATGTCGTAAACTTTAAAAGCATAAATAAATGTTTAGAGAACTTGAAACTACTACCAACTATTTTTTAACACTGTGGAAATTCAAAATATGACTTTGATGGTACTTTGCGAACCTGCTTAATATATTTTTAAGGCGTTTAAAGTTTACAACATACAACAATATGACACTTACGACAACGTTGTGAATACCCCAATTGTATTTAATAAAAACTTTTTATTAAACAGTAATATTGTTGCCGTTTCGGGTTACAGTCTGTTTCTTAAAGGGTCGTAAATCAAATCTGCGCCACTAAATAACTACTCGCTCGAGGCGACAAACTTGAAAAACTTGAAGCTTGACAAAATTGTAAATTCTTTTCGATTGACGCTGCACCAGTTGAGAGGACTTTCATTTATATTAAGTTTTTTATTGCGGTGCAATAATTCCCATTTGAGAAATGCATCGGGACTGCAAATATCAGATGTATCCTCCTGACTTTCATCTTCACAATTTAGCATCGTTATTTAAACACTGCTGTTTTCCTAAAATTCTTCATTCTCTTTCTTTTGGTTCTTTCTGAATTTGGAGAGCCTGTAACGTCATCAGCGTTTTTCGATTTAGTTTTTGTAATTCATTTTTAATCCTTTCTTCTGTGACTGGCCAGATATACGTTTTATCAATGCACTTGCACAATATTCCAGGGACTGAAAGTAACAATTATTTTTTTACGAGTTAAACTTGACCAAATATATTTTATTCCGAAATAAAAGTCCTTTCCGGATAATAAACAAACCACTTATCCAAATTAAACAAATTTCGTATCATATGAAAGAGGACTGAAATAGCTTTTAAACAGAAATAACGAACGAATTTGACCACCTCTATTTATATTTTTGTAATAATTTATGTAACGCAAAAGAAATTCATATACCTGACCCAAGGTTTGTTCTATTAACATTAACATATTTTATTGAAATATTGTTCAATGGGTGGCTTTTCTCGTTTAGACATATCAGTTTTAAAGCTATTTATGTCCTCTTTCATTTGATACCAAACTTGTTTAATTTGGATAAGCGGTTTGTTTATTATCCGGAAAGGAATTTTATTTCGGAATAAAAAAAATATTTGGCCAAGTCTAACTCATAATAAATAATATAAAAAAAACTTTTTAATATACAACGCTTTTATAAA